GAGTCTAAAAATATAAAACTGATGGGTTACGGAAATGTCGCCAATACACCTCTTGAAGTTTTGTCAATTCACGAGAGTGCATCGCACTTTCACCAGTATACCTCCTATAATTTTGCCAACATGATTGTAACTTCCGTATTTTTCGTGGAAGATGAGGAAAAAAAGAATAATCTTTCTACATCAAACATATCAAACCCTCCCTGACGTTCGTCATCAGATCGAAATTAGGTTTTTTTTTAATGTCTTGTTTTTGACATACTATTCTCGCTTTTTCTTATTAAAGTCATATATCGGTCATATTTGAACGAGTGGTAACTGAAGACAAAGAGATATACTCTGACATCTTAAAAGATCGAAAATTCAAATATATGGATTTTTTAAAAAGATCGTATATGTTATGGCATTTTTTGGGGCTCTCTATATATGCATTATAAATAGTAGACATATTTAATGATTTTTTTAATAAAAAGTCATTTTTGTAAATTGTGTTATTAATAATAAAAATTATTTCGTACATATGCATATATACACAATAACTTAAATAAAACAAGATTTCGTAAATATTGTTTGATGACTACTAGAAGATTTGCTTGTCTCAACTGACAAGATTATTAAATACTCCTATTCTGTTTGTTCTACATATTCAAATTGCTAGGATCATAAGACTTTTATTATCAGTATTTCGATGAGATCGTATTTTTTTGCTTTACCTTTTTTTATATCTTCCTTCAAAAATTCACTCTTATAAATAAAATATCGTTTTAGCTAGAAATTAAGCTCGTTTTTGTTTTTTATTACTTCAATTGTCGTAAATCATAATTAATTGTAATTGAATAGTTAGATAGTAAAGTACTCTTTAGTTTATAGTCTATTTTATACTTATATGATGAATTATTTGGTGAACATGTTTCTGATGATGTAGACACTATGAATAGTACTCTTTCTTACTATTATCTTTATCATCATTATCAGGAGATTTCTATAGAAAAAGATCATATAGAAACAAATCGGGGTGAATCAAGAGAATTTTTTGCATTTAGGCCTTTTTTTGTGTACTCAAAAAGTGAGTACACTCTATAATTGGTCAGTGTGTCCGTCCGTTCGTCCGTCCGTTTACACGATAACTTTTGAAAGGAGAGTCCGATCGCGATGAAATTCTCTACACAGTTCAGTCTTAACAATGTCTCGGTCGAGTTCGAAGATGAGAAGAATTGGCCGAACCGTTCCTGAGTTATTGCAAAAATACTCATTTTTCCCTATGGCTTCCTGTGGGAAAGTCGACCCATCCCCGCTTTCGTAAAACAATTTTCCTGTCATACTCAAACAAAACCCCAACTATTATATACCATTCGATAGAGAATTCTACGAGCTACAAAATGGTATATAAAGCATAAAGAAACAAGAAGGCTAGCTCACCTATTGCAAAGATAAATAAACGGAAATCGGTTCTGTTCTTGTCCACACTCTAACTGATTCACAAATGAGAGCACTATCTTCCGATAAGAGGTGATGCTTGAAGGTTTTCTGAGGTGGAGAACTCGAATCTGCACTTCACTTGTTTCGAAGCCCTATTGGTTGAGCACTGACCAATAGAAATCAAGTTGTAGAAAAAAGGACTTTCTGAGGGTAAATTAAGGCGAAGTGTTCAAATCTGAGTTGTATTCGCCCCCAAATCCTATTGGTTGAGCAGTAGTCAATAGAATTCAAGTGTTTATAGAAAAGGTTTGCCAAGCTAATTTGTATATCCACACATTCTAGGATGACTGATTTGTCTCATTCACTTTTTGAAGTACACATAACTCTCGGGCTTAAGTCCGAGGTTTCCGCATTTTTTGTTTATATCTTCGTCATTTTAGAAGATAGAAAAAAATTTTCTTCACAAACAATATAGAGAAAGCATTTTTCTTGAACTCTCTGCTTTTGGATTTTCAAAATCTTGTTGGAAAGAAATTCTACAGTAGTTTTTCCGAAAGTCTTAAAGCGTTACCAGTTCGCTCGCATTTGCGGCGAATGAAGAATCATGGATTGTGTAGCGGGACGAATGTATAATATCAGTTATTTTAACAGAATGTAGTAAAATCAAATTTTCGAGTATACCTTGATTTATTATTGACTCCTTCTCGCTACCAAACATGTTCATTTCACTTATTTCTACAAAACTATAGAGTATGGTGGGTAAATCAATTCTTGTTTTCAATAGTTTGTCTTTTTTCTCCTATAAGTTTTTTAGTTTTTATCGGATAAAAATTTTTTGTTACCAACCATGTATAGCAGATAATGCTCTATCAAGCTGTATGTCTAGTGTCTCAAAATATTCATCAGAAAATAACCTACGCGCGGTTTTCAGAGTTCTACCTCTTTTATATAATTGATTTACCCCATATGGGGTAAATTAATCATTCTACTGATACCATATTGGAGTACATCAATTATTCTATATATTTTTACCTGCCTTATATAAAACCTTACTTTAAAAGGTTCTGTAAGTTCAGTTTAGAAAATTTTTGCATCATTAGAAAGCCCAAACATTTCTCTATAAGCCTAAACTAATCCTATTTATTTGAGCTAAAATAAAATCGAATCCTAAAAAAAGGGCTCTGAAAGCGCTAGAAAAAAAATTAATTGATTTACATCATTTTGGATAAATCAATCATTGGGTTGACATCATTGGGGTAAATCAATTATTGCAGCTAATTTGGCTGGAACCTTTATTATGCAATTCACGAGAGCACAGTATTTCAAGATGATCCTGATACCAAAAATATTTAGCATGCCGAAATCTATCGCTTGTAACTATTTCCAACATTAGTACAACGATGAAATTCTAATTGTGATGCATATTACTAAATAAAAGCGAATAGTTGGATATTTTTTCAAGCATTTTACTAAGTTAAAAAACCTTTGGTAATATTTTTCAAGTATTATGCTCTAATAGAGATATTCTATCATTATTTAAAATTCCTTCTGTTCTGTTTTTTTTTGTCTCGTAAGGATTTATTCGCACTTTCTGATGCTTATATGACGCCGTAACCATATAAGAGATAGCATAAGTTGAATCCTCTCGAGGCGTCTTTTTACCCCTTAGAAAATATTAAAACTACTATAAGTATAGACGAGAGTTCCTAGATAGAAAGCCTGTAAAATGTTGAACTCCTTGACAGTTTACTCTTGTGTACCGCTATATTCAAAAAGAAAATATGTACGTATGAGCCATTTACATCAGTATCAAGTTGTTTTACTTTTTTCTTCTTAAACAGCGGGTCAGTCGATTTGGTTAGTAGCTATCTTTTCTCTCGTTCTCTTTTGATCATACATAAAATGATGATTGCCAAGTACAGTAATGGAATAGTTGTGTCTCCTAGCCTGTATTCTTATTAAATTACAAAAGAATTGTTCATCATTTCAATGGTATTGAAAAATTTGAAATCATGTAGTTATCAGTGTAGTGTGGGTCATTAATAACGTGAAATCTGTCTTATACAAGCAGTTGCTGTTTGATAACGGCGTATTAATTATGCCTTATTCGACAACATTCCTCTAAGGTGCAAAAAAAGATGCTCAAAATTCTGCCGAATATTTTGATAAAGAAATGAGGAAGGCTTGGAATAAAATTGAACATGAGCAATTCTTACTCACTGTAGCTTGAAAGCACTTCAACATTTTTTTATCAATAATTTATCATTATCTTTTGAATAGATTCTAAGACGTTGAACTTGAATAAAGACTATTTCATCAAAGCAAGATTAAAATCTCTCTTCTTCAAATGAATCCAATATTTCAATTGTAACAACAACTGTATCTATCGACTATGATGTGTATTACCAAAAATTACACATTAGAATTCAACGAAAGCACCATAAATAATTCATTAAAGAAAGAATAAATTTATAGCTTCCTGAATATATGAAAAATCATTCAATCCTTGCCAAAGACGTAAAATTTTAAAGAAGTTTCTAAATGCAATTTTTTACAAAATAGGTAATTGATGAGTAGAATACGTTATAACTTTTGGTCAAAGACGACTAGCTGGAGTAGTAGGAAGTCTTTCTAAGCTATGGAAACGACATGATTTTGTAATTGGTGCAAACTTTTTGTACTATGCTTTATCGTCATCACGTAAGAAAAACATTATCAAACATATTTCATTCATGACAGAAAAATTTCGTTATACTATGATTGCGTCACGACGGTATCATGAGAAAGATATTTTAATATTATAGAAAGATGGTGTGGGTGTGGGTGAGAGTGTCACTTATTCTTCTAATACCCAACCCGCACCCCACATCCACACCCACCCACACCTACGAAACCTTTTTTCCATTTGTGTAATGGGTTCAGCACAAAATTGTGTCTGCGAAACCTTTTCCCAGTTTCGTGAAAAGGGTTATTACGAACCTTCGGCACGAAACTTTTAGTTCAGTTGTCCAGTAATGGTTTGGTACGGAATCAAAAAAGGATCTTCCCGTGTGTTAAGGGAAGAACCATTTTATGTTCGGTAAAATACCTTTTCTTTTACAGTGTAGATACACATAAGATTAGAAATACAGAGATATGACACGCTAAGGCGAGTAAATAAATTTTCACAAAATCTCCTATAGAACTTGTTAGGATGCAAAAAAAAACGAAGCTGCTTCTCGTATACATTGAAAAATCGAGCAAGTCAATGTGCATATATGTGGTTTTTTTTTACTAATCTCTCAGGAAATCGACTATTTCTTTTGAATCTGATGTTTTTGTAGTAGGTACGAAGTCTCTCTGGTGCTGTGGCAACCAAGTATGCTTCAAAAGTTTTATTCAATGACGAGGCTTCGTTGGATTTATCTAGATGATCCTTTAATTTCTTCCAAATACGCAAAGAGATAGTCGGTAAGGGTTTTCTTTCTACGAAGTATTAGTGCTGTAGTTTGTTTCGTTTTAAAATGATCTTTTTTGAATAGCATAAAATATCGAAGTTCATAAATTTGATTTTACAAAAAACAAACAAACAAAAAAAATCTCGTCTAGTTTGTTAGATAATTCACCATTTCGATCCAATCTGTTTGAAACTGTTGTGGTCGTTGAGCATTCACAAACCACAAGTGGTTAACACCTTGTAATTGACATTCTTGACATTCGTCACGAATTTGTTGTTTAAATTGATCACGCTCTTCCGGTGGTACTTGATCAAATTTATTCACAATCAAATCGTATTGAAGTTGTATGGCATCCAATAGTTTGATCACTTTTGTCATTTCTTTAACAGTATGATTAATAATAATAAGCCGGTACGATAACCCCTTCCAAAAACTGATGTAGTTCACAGTGAAATAGGAAACATCATCATTTTTTCCCGGTACATCATACAGACGATAACTTTGACCATCATACGGTTGAATGACTTTTGTGATCTCACCATATCCCGTTTCGGCTAACTTCTGTCCCAATAAGGAATTAATCATCGTACTCTTTCCAGTGGATGTGATACCAAATAACGCAAGATTTTTGTCTCGTTCCATTTTGAGTGGCTGTACAGTAGCTGCCAACTGTTGAAATCGTTCAACACCTATCTTCTCATAGGTCGCCACTTGCTCAAATGTATTCAACTTCTCTTCTTCCATTTTTTGTAACAATTCTTCATGTTGTTGAATAATAACATCGTGTTCTTGCTTCAATCGGTCCAATTCTTCTTGATTTTCATAAGTTTGATAAGCATATGGTGGAGGAAAAAATATGGGTAGTATCTTTGGTATGAAATCACCCGCATTTTGAAATGTGTCTCCAACGGCATTGCCCGCAGCTTCCAATGGTTTACCGATATTTTCACATACACCATCAGCGATGACATTACCAGCTTCTTGGACACCCTGTTGAATTGCTCGTCCGGCATCCTCAAAAGCATTGCCCAAAGCCTTAAAGTCCGATTCTGCTTGGCCCATAATGATGGTGATAATAAGACTATCAAGAAATATGACTTTTCTCGAAATTATTTTCTCGTCTAAAAAGAAGATATGTGTCTACATGAAGCAGAATTCCGTGGATATCCTAGGCGGACAAGAACACTTGGAAAAGGGTGTAAAGGTGTCTAAACACTGCCGTGAGCTGCTGGATTTGATTGTCAATACGCTAAGCGAGCGTTTCGACTGGTATATTGGACAAAATAAAGATACAACGCATTTGTACGCAGGTTTTGTCATTTCTGGTCTAATTGGGACGAGACAAATCGGAATAGGAGAGGAAAAAATGGACGTACGGAAGAACTAAGGATGGAGGCTGGATAGATATCTGTTTCCGCCAGAATTTTGGTCCGTCGTTATTCCGTTGATAAAAGATCAGTTTTGTTGTAATTTTTTTCAAAAGAATTTCGGCTTCGATGATAACAAAAAATTCAAACATTCGAAACCAAACGACATGGTGTGGTACTAATAATGAATTGCCAAACAAATTTTCTTTCAAAACTTAACGAGGCAAGACAGCATAGGAAGGAGGGTGAGACAACTTTTTTGTTGTTCCTCAAGAACTCTAGTAGGAAGGCTATCAAAAAATCCATAGTTCACTCTATGTATACTTGCTCTTTCTTCTTTTCTACAAAATAACAATAACTAGCGAATTTCTTTCTCTCCATGCTTTGCCCTATACATCATGAAGCGTATCTATCAGCGCTCCTCAGATTGAGACGGAACGAGAAAAATAGAAGTATGAAGAAACCCAACTGCTTTATTATAACCATTCACGATTGTTTTTGTTTGATTCGGATCTTTTTTTCTTTCCCCTAATAAAAATGTTGCTTTACCGTTATTTTCACTTCTTCTCTTCCTTGCTTTTGGTGCCCACGTCAGATAATTGCGTCGATGTACGTGAGATATAAAAAACATACATGCAAAGAATAATAAACGATGTGATCTTTTCTTCTCCATCATCATTCATCGATTATTAAACAACTTACCTTCTTCTACGTTGGAAATGTTTCTTTTCAACATCTAAATCAGAATCGGCGAAGTGCGTAAATGTCTTTCTATGTAATGGTATTTATGTCGTAAAGAAGGACGACAGATTTTTAATAGAAAAATCGGAAGATCACGTTCTTTCGAAAAGGTTGAAAATTTAGTCGGTTCTCTCCCGTTCTGTTTCGATCGAGTAACTTCAATTAATAGATGGCAGAGAGAGATTGAATGCGTCATATGTTGATCGGTTATTCATGGTCATTTCACCACCTACTGTCATGCTGTCATAAAGAACGAGCAAGAGCAATAAAAGCGATCACAGTGCATTGATTTTGTCCCGTAGGCAAGAATAAGAGCAGGAGAACGAAAAGGATATAAAAATAACACAACGAACATAGTTATAAAGCGAAGCACCACACCATCCACCACATTCATCGATCCACTACTGCTCTGCACAATAGCAAGATGGCTGCTTCTTTAGCTCCACTTTTGCCTGCTGTGATCGAAGGAATAATGAATATGTTCGGAGGCGGACGAAGTAAGTAATTAGTCTTATGAGTTCTCACTATAGAAATAATCTAACGGGTAATCGAAAATTATTTGGACAAAATATTTGTTCATTTTTGATCGACCTGGAAGTATTTCTGACTAGTTAAAATCTATGCGTTACAATCAGAATTTTGTGCTCTTTCCGAATATCGACCCAGAGATTTTGTGTTGATTTCTGTTCGAGAGTAGTGAAATAATCTTTGAAAGGGCCAACAAATTAATTTGAACGGAATGTTTGGGCAGAAATTTCTGATCAAAATGTTTATTTATTTTGGCTGACTTGAAAGTATTGTCCAATGATTCAAAACTATGGGTCAATACCGGAATTTTGTGTTCTCTCTGAATATGAGTCTAAACATGTTGTGTCCATTTTTGTTCGAGAGTAGTGAAGGAATGTTTGAAAAGCTTAAACAATTAGTTTGAACGGCGCATAAACAGCTTTTGCTAATCCATGCAAGTCCCTTTGGGAAGATATCAAAAATTCTTGGATTCGGTAGTATTGTAGAGCAAACAACTTTTTACAAAATTTGATATTGAACTAAGCTGTAGCTTTTACCCAAGGTAAACTATGCGCATTTTTCCAAGAGCTCCTTTCCATGTAAAACATTTTTGGTAAAAAAAGATTTTTCAAAAATGACGCTTTAGGAAAAACGAAACTTCAGAAGCCTTGTCCAAAGACAAAAGAAGCTCACACAGTACATTGTGTAGGGTAGGCTTTTCTCTACAAGCTGATATACGAATAAAGGTTCCACCTTTTAGTTTCGGATGGCAGCAGGAAAAATACAAAAATATGTGGAAAAAATTTCCATCCAAATTAATTTGTTGGGTCTTTGAAAGGTTATTTTACTACTCGTGGACAGAAACGAACACAAAATTTCAGAGTCGATATTCGGAAAGAGCGCAATAGTCTGATTGTGACGCATAGATTTGGCTCGTCAGAAATACTTTCCGGTGGGCGAAAAATGAACAAACATTTTGTCCAAATAATTTTCGATCACCCGTTACATCACTAGGTGAAGAATATCCAGGAAGAAAAGGTTGAAATATTTCTAATTTTCTTGGTACGCAGTTGTTTTTCTCCTGACAGAAACAAATTCTCACGCACCGATAGAAATTTACTAATGTCTGTATCATCCCAACTACATACGTATCAAGACATTAGATCTCTGTGAAGCTTTTATAACGTGATATTTCATCAACAAAATCCACACTTGACGGATCTAAACAAACACTCAACATCATTATGTGCACATGGATATTCCGGGAAAAATCTCGAGGGACATTAGTACAGTAATATACGATTTTCTCCAAAGCTATGTGTTCGCAGAAGCTGATTTTTGAACCGCAGGGAGCTCGTCTCAATTGAAGAAAACAGACAAAGTTTTCTCTGAAACGATTCAAGTTAGTCAGAACTACATGAAAACTAAGTTGAAAATCTTACGGTAGATTTAGTGTGAAAATCACTGATTTGCATTTTGCATTCTAATTTTCCAACCGAAGTGCAATGCCAAAAACTTTCTTTCTGTGCTAGTTGGTAGCGCCTTATTTCCTTCGTCATTTGAGACTATTATCAACTTTTTCATGCATCTCGTGAATCGCAGTAGCTCGGGGGAAAAGACGATTGTTGACCGGCAAGCGGCTCCAAAACCGAGGTTTCTATTTTTGCGAAACCAATATCTGGGAACCCGCTCGACAGAATGTTCTAATTTTTCAATGTTAGCGAGCATTTGCCAAGCGAAGAAAAAAAATCAAGTCTTAAAATCGACTCACAGGAACACAGGAGTTAGTATTTATTTACGTATCGAAGCCCAACGGTGCAATGAAATTGTTAATCGCCTGTATATTGCTCGACTAAGTAAACGACTATGTCGAAACGTCAAATTAGAACAAATAAAATACTTAACCCGTGTTGTCCTATTTCGACTTCGTTCGATATATCGCAGTGGCTAAAGTTCATTTTTATACATAAAAATAGTGGACCTTTTCGAGTTCTTAGACAAGAATGAACTCCTGTTCATTACTTGTATGTTTCAAGTTTTTTTTCTTTTCCATTTGACCATCTAGAAAATTTCTTTTAGAAGCACTTCCTTAAAATCTACAGTTGTCAGAGTTTTAACTCAAAATATTTGCAGAAAAGGGAGTGAAAAATCCCAGAACTCCTACGATTTCTAAAGCTAGAAATGATCTCAAGCGAGAGAAAAAAATAAAATGATAGATTGCAGTAAGTTTTCTTTTATTTTAAATATGTTGCATTTGGAAGTAATTATGGCAAGGGGTGAAAAGCGGCTCCTGGCGGTTCCTTATGGATTCTAGAATTCATAGAATCCGTCAGTAGCCGACATAATCCATCAGGATCAAGAATAAATACTACCAGAAACCCTTCGAAAGCAACATTGATTAGTTGGACCAAGCTTAAGATTGACTTTAAGAAATCAAGAGAGAGACTTAATGATCTAATACTTATGTACTCATATTTACAAGTAACCAGCAGATCTACGACAGTTCCAGCTCACGAACAGATTCACATGATTTACTTAGCGATTGGAATCGATCAGTTCGTATCAAAATAACTGCTGGAACCGTTCTTTTGAGCTGAACTTAACTGTTCCAACAGTTCAGTTCCGTTCGTCCCAACTATCCCAGCAGCTCAGTTTAGTTTCAAGGAATGGTTGCAACATCTCTCGGGAACAGAACTGAACTGTTCAAGGCCTGAACTCAGTTCATGAACCACCATACCCGTACTTCCTAATATAAACCATAAGAACAATCAAGTTCTACTGTAGGCTGATGCCTCAGGTACCTAAAAACCTACTATATGGGAGTACATCAGGCATCTCAAGTGGTACTATAGCAAGTATAGTTTGAATGACTACCGGTGACCAGAGCTCGTCGGCTAGGAGCTGAGTTCGGACCCAGACCCGATCGGCTACTGGTAGGGTCCAAAAAATAATTTCATAGAAATAATAAAATGTTTTGCATGTTTTTCGTGCTCATTCATTTTTCATTGAAAATGTTCGGAATGTAGTTTGATTCAGGCGTTGGAAAACGTTTCATCAGTATAAACTGGACACGAGTCCACACCTTTTTCATCAGCTGTGTTTTTGCCGGGCTTCAAAAAACTCTAATCAATCGGGTCCGGGGTATCAAAGACATCGAGTAAACCGGGTCCGGATCTGGTTCGACTTTGCAAATTTTGGACCCGACGGGTTCTACCGGTAGCCAGGTGCCCCGCTGCTAGTCTGAGTTTTTCATCGACGAGGTTTTGTGTTCAACCCGCCCTTATCGGTATTTGTGGTAGATCCGGTCTAAATTCATCAAGATCACTCCCAATAGGCTCAGAAACATTTGTTCAAGAGAGTATCTCAAAAATGTTGTTTCGAGAACTACTTCGGTAACCAGTGACCCGAGATTAGGCCGGTTTTGACAAGTTAAACCATTCACACCTG